GAATGGCGTTTTGTCATTAGGAGGATGGCTCTATTATTTTATAGAGTAATTGATGAATGTCTAATGTGTAGTAGTGTTATAGGGAAAAGAGATAGTGGGGTTTGGGGTCCATTAGCTATAAAGTACATCCTATGCTACACCAAATCTTCCAAAAGACATACCATTTTTTTTAAATCAAAATACCCAACTATTCCCCATGGTTTTGCTCCCTGGTTTTTCATAGCCATGGTTTTGCCCCCTGGTTTTTGCATATACCCAAGTATTCCTCCTTGGGTATCTCACCTCCTTTACATCTCCTCATATACTTTATCATTTGCTACAACCATATACTTTTCTATGCATGCGTAGGTAATTGAATTTTCCTGTTTAGTGCCATTCAGTTTCTTTTGCAATTTGTATGTATTTATATTGTTGAAGCTGTTGATTAATTGTGCAATAATCAAAAGGCTCAAGAACACTAATCACCATGGGGAAGCTGAATTTCAAGCTGAGGAAAATCTAGTTACAACTGCACTGCAATGTGCCGAGGAAGATAGAGAGGCAAGACCCTCAATGAGTCAAGTGGTTAGTATGCTTCTCCATGCCTAAGTAGAAGAAAGCAGTTTTAAGGGCATTTGTAAACCAAATCCTTTGGCTCGACCAGCTATGAAAACAGTTTCTGTCTAATATATATATATATATTGGAACCTGGGTTTTTTTCAACAGTTTCTTTTACCAATTTCTCTAACCAAAACCCACGTACATACAAGGGATTTGATCTATTTTGAATACTGATTAAGTGTCAACTGGATTAAAAACCAAAATACAAAATGGAATTACCATTAATGTACTAAAATGCTATAGACAACTGCAAAATCCATGGCCAAAATACAAGTCTGTTGATCATTTTGTACAGCCACCATCTATCCTACGCTGCTACAAATGATCATACAGATTAGTGATAACTACAAATACAACAATCCATTACAACGAAATTTTGTTTACAGAAGTGATCGGTGCCCTAATTCCATTCAATTTGGGATGAACCAGAGATCGATTGAAGATCGAATCAGAGATCGATTTAAGATCGAACCAGATTGACAATCGAATTTTGTCTACAAGAGAGAGAGAGAGTGAGAGAGAGAGCGTACCTGGAGATCGAACAAGAAATCCAGTAGATGAGATGGTGCGTTCAATGAATTTGGATTAGAGGAAGAATCTGTATGAAAGGAATTGAAATCCTAGCATATTGCTGTGGAATTGTGAAATCGGTGCGTGAAGGAAATGACCGGAATTGAAAGGATTCCACACTGTGATTCAATTGAACCAAACACACTATTTGGAATTTGGTCAAAGGATTGGATATTCCAATTCCTTTGAATTCCATCCAATTCTTATGAACCAAACAGCCCCTTAGGGAGAATGGAATTCCAGCCATTTGAGTGTATAACTCCTTTTCTTCATGATCAAACTTCATATAATACCACCATTGTTGAAGGTATTGAAGAGGAACAACAGTTTGCTTTATAAACATCCTCTTCTAATGATGGTGTTTGATTATTTCCACCACTACTTGATGATCAATTTTGAATTTGTTAGATTTCAATTCCACCATACAGTTGTTCTCCTTGATTACATCAAATTTTTACTAAAGAAAGATCCCTTAAATCCTTGTTCGATAGGAACCTCATTGTCCCCAATCAACATCGAGGGTTTTTTTAACTTCTTCAGAGTCGGAAGAGGACGAAGCACAGCAAGAACGAGCAGACTTGAGAGCAGATTTGTATGACTCATACATTTTGATAATTAGGTCACAAGAGAGTTTGAATGCTTAAATATTGGAAGTACAATTAAGCAAGAGCAGGGTTGTGAAAGAATGTACTCTTGTTCGTTATTGAATCGGTTAATGAATATGAACGGGTTTTATTTACCGGTTCTTTGAGATTGCTTATAAAAACAACTTATTGACTTATTTTGGTCCGACAATGGTAATAAGAAATTTTGAGTGTTTGGATAAACAACTTATACCGGTGCCAAACTAGTAATAAGAAGTTTTTAAAGAAGTTAAACCCTCCTGACTTATAATAAGTTGATAAGTGCTTTTGTAGAAAAGTATAAGTTGTTTCAAATAAGCAATCCCAAAAGGTTTTTTTTTTTTTTTTACTTTTAGGTGACGTGGTAATTACAAATCAAAGAAAATACAACACGTGGCATGAAAAGACTTGAGAGTTATCTTGAACTATTGTCAGAGAAAAATATTTACACAAGTGAACACTTTAAAATGTCAAGTCGTAGGTCTAGATCATTTTGTCCAGAGTAATGATGTAATGAATTCACAGTTACGCGACCAAGTATCTAGAGTTATTTCTAACTCTGAATATGAAGGAGTTCAGAGTTAGCAACTCTAAAGAGAAAAACTATTTAAAATCCAACTTCTTAGAATCATGAAAACATTTAATGATTAAAGAAATGATTTAAACATTTTTGAACAAATTTATCATCAAGAAAGTTGCCCTTCTTTCAAGAGATTTGAGATTGTAGAGAAACATACCTTTGGTTTCATGCTTGAGTTCAGAGTTATGAAAATATTCAGAGTTAGGTTACTCCAGAGTCATAGATACCCAAAATACCGAAGTATTAAGAGTAAACTGTATTCAGAGTTAGCTACCCTCACATTGAAATATTAACTCCCCCTTAAACAAAGCTTAGGATGATCAATCACAATTATTGAAAACTCTCCCTAAAAGAATAAGGATTTAAAAATACAGTGAAAAGTATTGTTCTTAAGCTTGGAAGAAAAATTCGACAAGTTAATGTATTTAGAGTTATGGACAACTCTTGAAACATAAGTTCAGAAATCTAAACTAGTGTTTACAGAGTTGGAAGAGATTTTTTCACAAATCTGAAAATAAACATTCAGAATTTTGAATTAACTTTTAGTAGAACTCTGGAAAAAAAACTAATTCAGAGTTCGATACTTGGCAAATTTAGATTTGTACGTTTGAGAAAAAATTTAATGAAATAGACTCTAAATATTAAGAAGTCAAATTTAAAATTCCTAACTCGCTAACTAAAAAGTTGAATCTCTTTTCATCAAAAGGCTTTGTAAATAAGTATGCGAGTTGAAATTATGTATGAACAAAATACATTTCAACTCTTCCCTTTTCAACATGAGCTTTATGAAATGATAACTTATATCAATATGTTTTTATCTTGGAGTGTTGGACAGGATTGGCACTGATAGTAATAACACTCTTTGAATCACAATAAACGGAAATCTTCTTGAATACGTATCCATAATCTTTAAGTTTTTTTTATTCATCCAAATTAATTATGAACAACAGCTTGTTGCATCCATATATTCAGCCTCAACAGTTGATGTTGAAACAAAATTTTGTTTCTTTAAAATCCAACTGACCAACTTATCTCCCAAGAATCGACATGAGCTAGAAGTGATTTTTTTGTTCAACTTACAACCACCATGATAATGCATCTGTGCAAGCTATTAAATCAAATCTAGAATCCTTCGGATACCAAAGACCCAATGAAGGTGTGCATTTAAGATATCTTAAGATTCTTTTTACAACTACAGGATGAGGTTCTTTAGGATTAGCTTGATATTTTTCACAAAAACAAGTGGCAATCATAATATCAGGTCTACTAACAGTTCGATATAATAAAGATCCAATCATGCCTCTAAAATTCTTTTGATGAACAGATTTTCCATTTAAATCTGCATCTAGCGTAATTCCAGTGGCCATTGAAGTCCTTATTGAAG